TTGGAAGGATGTTCCACTACAATAGAAGAGATATGATTTGCTGTAAATATTGAAGCAGCTCCAATCATCTCTATATCTTTGTTCTATGCCATTCTTATTGCTTCTTGTGGTAGTAAATTGACTTGATGCATTGCAAGTATTAAATCCCTCAATTGCTCTTGCATTTGTGCCATTACATTCTTTATTTCAAAAAGGTTTGCTATAATAATACTTAAAGAAGGTAAGATATGTAATATCGCTTAAGACAAATAGAAGAGAAGACTTGAAAACAAAGAAAAAAATACTACAGTTAATATTAGTTTAGAAGAAGGTAATTTGTAACTCTTAATATACTTAAGTATTATCAAGAGAAAGGGATAATTTACTCTTAATTAAGAAAAGATAAAGTTCTAATATTGTAAGTGTATTCTTGTCAATTTATCAAGAACAAGAACTCAATGAAAACAAATAAATAAGTAAGAGTCTATTAAAAAAATATAACAAAATAAAAATAGAGAAGTATCTATATTAAAAAGAAAATTGGAATGGCTATTTTTAAAAGATGAAAAAACCAAAGATTCTTGAAACTAAATTAAAAGCAAGAAAGGACTTGACAAAAGTGAAGAAGGCTTTATTCTTGCCTTTATATATACTATCTACATAGGATCTATGTGGTGACCTTCTATAGGACCTCCAAAAATACATTAACTTTGCATGACACATATCTTAATTTGCAAGGCAAGTTTCTTATATGGATACCACTTAGTTATCTTATTTTGCAAGCTACCAACATATGTGGCATGTAGTTAGCTTGTTGATCAAGTTTCTAATCTATCAATCAACTACAAATACATGTAAAATTAAAAAAACATCTAGGAAGCTTCTCCAAAAGGTATTATAAAATTAATCTATTTTTATCTACTTCTACCTATTCATATTACTTAAATAATAATTACAATAAATATATATCTGTGATAGGTATACCATCAAGTACCAAGAAGATGATTAGACAACATTTTTTTCATTAGTAAAGTTTTTTTATAATAAAATAGTATATTTCTTTACTCAATAAATATCTTTCTTTGTTAATTATACTTATCACCTATAATTCATTAATTTTGAATTTTTAAAAGTTGATAATCTTATGATAGAAGATCTAATAAATTATTTATAATAACTACATATAATAATGAAGGTAGAACTAAAGAAATTCAAGAACAACAAAAGATCAATGTAAATACCTATTGAAAAGAATAATCTCAATTTTACATTAATATTAAGATATTATTACTTTGTTATAATATCAAGACTATTTTTTTATGTGAGAAGTTGGACTATTGTAGGCTTGGATCATATCTTATATGTAAAGAAATCAATCTATTTGCATATTGATTATATCTATCAATGTCATGTAATAAAACAATTATATGATAAAAAATAAAAATATAGATATTATTATAAAAGAGCTTAGTAGAAAAATTTAGTAAAAAAATAAAATAAAATGATAAGAAGATAGTAAAAGTTATAGTCTTAATGTTATCTTTTGTAGAAGGAACTTCTATTTAGTTTGTAAGAGCATAAATACCTTAAATTAAAGTAAATGAGATAAGTAAATAATACAAGAATCTTTAAAAAAAATTGGCAATAGATTTAAGTAAAATATTATTTCAAATTATCAAATATTAATACATAGAAAGAATTGGTTGTGAACCTAGATCAAATATAGATCCCAAAGCACAAAACTACACATTCATGGTGATTCTAAGGTTCTTTTGTCAATTAAAAGATAAAGTTTGACAATAAACTTGAGAAAAAAATTTTGAAAGTTATTTTTATATCATTTGGATGAATATTGAGGTTTTGAGGGATTTTTGAAATTATTTATGTTCTCGGTGGATTTAGATTTTAAAAAATAAAAATGAATTTATAAATTTTAAAATTTTTATGAATTTTATAGCATGTTTTTAGATAAAAATTTGATATTTTGTCATTTTTCTTGTTTTAAATGTGTTTGAAAAGTTTGAAATCAATTAAATGGTTAGATTGAAGAGTGTGAGAATTTTTGTGGATTATAGTCTTGAATAATTAAAATTTAAGATCAATGAAGGATTTCATGATTTGGCAATATTTACCAATTTGATTGAAGAAAAAATTAGTGAAATCTATTTAGATTTGAATATCTACATACAATTCAATTTGTGAAGCAATTGAATGCTTCAACAAAGAAAAAATCCTTCTTGAAAGATCAACATTCAAATTGGAAAAAGAAGGGAGCTAATAACCAAGAGGTTTTAAAAGCCTTTCTTGCAATTAATATACCCGATTCTCCTCAAATTTTCTATGCATATTAATTGCTTATTAATTGAATTTTGGATGAAATTTTAGTCAAGATCTATAGTTCAATTAATATTTATTGAAGTTTCAAACAAAAATAATGATTGATTGAGATTTACTTGAGATTTACTTAAAATTGGTCTAAAGTTAGAATTTGGTTAAGTTTCATTAGGACTTTAATTAGGATTCAATTAAGATTTGATCTAAATTTAGGATTATTTTAGGATTTCATTAGAGTTGGTCTAAGATTTAAGATTTCATTATAATTTTAATTAAGATTTGATTAAAATTTGATCTAAATTCCATTAATATTTATTAAAATTTTAATTAAGATTAAATTAAAATTAGATTAAAGTTTATTTAAAAAATATTCAAGATTTTTATTATTAATATTTATTTAAGATTCTTTGTTATTTTTTTTTTTTTATTATTTTTATTATTTTAAAAATATTTTGTTTATATAATTTTTTATTATTTTTTTGAAATTAATTTATATTTTTTTTCTATATTTTTTGTAACTTCTTTTAAATTTACTTTGAATTGGTTATAATTTGATTAGGATTATTAAAGATTACTTAAATTTTATTTTAGATTTTAATAGATTTGATAGGATTATTATTGCATATCTACTTACCTTAAAAAACTAAGTCCTTGATGTATTTTCAAGCAAGAATATACATAATACAACATCAAAATTTATAAATATCTATCTTATATTTCATGTATCTTTTTTTAAACCATATATAATAGTAGATAATTTGAAAAGAGGATAAATTCCATTATCCTTTATAGAAGTGAATAATAATTAAGGTTTTGAAATAAAAGAAGTTTTAAATTTAAGATAGCACTAAAATAGATTAAAATATCTTATTCATTGATGCAGATATAATATTAGTGAATGCACATGGGAGCTAACAAAGAATCTTATAAAAGCATTAGAGAAGATCAAAGCTTTTTATCAACATCTATCAAAACTAAGATGAAGAATCTAGCAAATTTTTGCTATAAGAAAAAAAATAATCAATGAAGATTGCATTCTATCTTCTATACTTTATTGTGATTTTTTTTGTATTAATGGCACTAATAGGATGGATATACAACAACCAATAGATTTAATTCAAGAACTATTATTTGCTAACTTATTAGACAAGACATAGCAATTATTGCAACCTCCAAAATAACATAATAGAAATAAAAACCTTTAAGAATGGCATGTTCTTCATCAAATAGATTATGATATATAATGCATTTGGTATCACAATTGTCGAAGAGACTCTCAATGTTTGGCAATTTTATTGGATGTAGAAACAACTCTCAATGGTGTTACAAATGCTTTATTTGAAAAAAGTTATAAAGGCCTCAACAATGATCAAATATTAGAATGGTCTTCTTGCCTTGGAATGAAACATTATTAATAGCTGAGAAAATATATCAACTATCTTCAAAGAAAATAAAGATCAAAGTATATGGAAAATATAATTTGTGGTATGTTAGATTTTATCAATATATGATCACTACTTTTTATAGAACTTATTTTTAGAAAGGGAAATAAATATCAGACATATATATTTACAACTATAATTATGTAGATAATATGAATATGTAGAAATATGTAAAAGTAATTTAATTTGATAATATCTTATAGAAAAACTTTTTAAAAGCTTTATGGACACAATTTATCCTTTATACATCTCTATAGACAATTTTTGGATTAAACATTTGGCCAACAAGTTAGCTACATGTCACATATATTAGTAACTTGTGGTACAAGCAACCATGTAGTACACATATAAGAAACTTGCCTTGCAAATTAAGATATGTATCTTAAAAATTAGATACATGTTAGAGGTCATATAAAACGTTTTCATGTAGCTCTTAGATAGTATATATGGAGGCAAAAGTAAAGCATTCTTTATTCTTGTCAATACTTTTTTGTTTCTTGTTTAATTTTCATAGATCTCTATTTTTTTTGTCTTTTGGCAATAGTCATTTTTTTTTTTTTTTTGAATATACATACTTTTTTATTTCTATTTTTTTATCCTTCTTTAAAAAAAAATTTCGCTTTTTTATTTGATTTTTTTGAATTTTTTCCCTTGACACCATCATAAAAAAAATTAAAAAAAAATCTATATTTATTTTTCCATTATTGGATCTGAAACCAATGAAATCCAACTACATTTATTATAATTACCATATTCTTCATCATATATAGGTTGATATTATAAAGACTTGGATCTATTTAACATTTTTTTTAAAAAACATATTAATACTTTAGCTAAATTTAAATATAATTGATATTGAAGATTTTTTAAATAATATTTTAAATCACCAATCATATTATATTTTTATCCAAATATAAATAAATATAAAATATAATTTTAAAAAAATAAAATTGGAATAATACTTTAATAAGTAAAATGAATTGGAACATGTCCACAATCAAATATATTTTTTTAGAACAATATATTTCCATTTTGACATTATAAAGTTTGTAATAATTACAATATTAAAACTCAAAATGAAATTAAGATAATAAAATGAAACAAATAATCTTCTAGACAAACTGAAAAACTAATACCTTGTAACAAATAACAATTTACAAAATATGTTACAAAAGATATAATATATACACAAAAACAATATGAAGGCCCATAGAATTAAAAACACTAAACAACCATGAAATCAGATTCTTTTACAATTTCATTTTATTCCCATTCACTATGTGATTTGAGGATTAAAAAAAATAAAAATAAAAATACTGCAGTTGTTTTCTTTGGAGCCAATAACACTACTAAACATGACTAACACATTCCACATAAAAGAACAAAATCAGCTGTAAGAGAAACAAATACCTGAGGATAGTAGTATCAAAACATTATCAAGAAAAAGAAATACCTTATGGACTATCTAGTTTAAAAGTACACATAGAATGACAGAAATAAAATTCAGTTTTTTTTTTTTTTTTTTTTTTTTTTTTTTAATTTAAATATAGTTAATGTTATACCATTTTACATCACCTTTTAAAGAATCTAACTACAAGACTATTTCGCTAATGCTAAGAGTCCAGAGTGCAAAAAGTAGATGTACCTCTCCAGCTCCCATTTGATTTCTTGAATCATTTGCATATTTAATTGAGGGACTGAGCTTTAATCCTTTCAGTATGGTTTGTTGCACATCACCTGTTCAATGTACCTTCCAAACATTCATTACTGTGGACAAAAGCAATTCATCACTTTCACGCTAGTTAAATAAGAGTGACAGTTAATGTCCAAGTGACAGACAAGTGCTTCAAATATAGCAACCATGAGAAAGTTGACCCAAGTATTTCATAATCGACACTAACAATCGCCCCAAAAATAAAAATAAAAGGACCACGGGAAATATGAAGGATCCTGGCCGTCACAGACGTAGCAAGCTGATCGAAGAACTAGTACTTACATGAGCAATGAGTCATTGATCTCTATTGTGATCATTTTGTGTAGCCTGCTTGAGTCATCCATAGAGACCACCTCGCTGCTTCTAGGAGGTTCCCTGCTTTCTCAAAAGCAGCAACAAGCATGACATAGGTTACTCTATCTGGCATGATTCCTGAGTCTTGCATCATCTTGAAGGTATCCACTGCTTTATCAGGATAATCCGCATAGCCATATGTTCTAATCATAGTATTATAAGTCCATCTGTCAGGGATGAAGCCTTCTTCCTGCACGAGTACAATTGGTTTTATATCAGGTCAATAACAACAAAGAGCACCAAAGACCTTAAAACAAATGTTCTGTGCCAATAGACAGGCCCCAGTTTCCAAAACATAGGAATAAGACCCATATCATACACAGCCGATCATCTATAATATTTAAGTACAAGCTGAACAGCTAAAATCACTTCAAGAATCATACATGCAATGTCAGAAAAATAAATTTGAAAATAAATATAAAAATAAAACAGATTAACCTTTGCAACATGCACCGTGCACAATTTCTACACATTAGCATGAAGCTCTATATTGCCTTGATAAATACGTGAACTTACTTGCATTTTGTGAAATAGAGCTTCCATCTCAGCAATTTTGGTGTGTCTTCCATATATATTGATGAGAATATTATACGATGCAAGATCCATCTGAAGGCCCGATTTCTCCATACGAGCAATTACATCCTCAAGCTTGTCAAGGTGACCCGCTTTTCCGTACGCATCAAGTACACAATTATAGGCCTCCAAAGAACCTCCGTGCCCTGCATTCTGCATTTCCCAAAGAGTCGCCTCCATATTTCGAAAGTCTTGCTTTTTGCCGTAAGAATTAATCAAAGTGCTGAATGTTATCTTGTCCGCTACTCCTAATTGCTGAGCTAACTTCGAAGCATCACGTGCCCTGCAAAGAGGGAACACATATAAGCTAGGTGCACAAATCTGTGGGAATGGACCATGCCGAATCGTGGATACGTGGATCATAGTGAACATCCAATTGAACTCAAGGAAAAAAATAAAATGCAGAAATGAAAGTAAAATATCTAAAAGTACAAGATTGACTTTAACATCACCTAAGAAATGTCAAATTGTCTTAAAAAATCACATGCTGATTTAAATAATTGTATACATTGTGATATTCTGACAACAAGCCTCAGCTATATTGCAGTGTTTAAACAACTGTAATTTTGAGAAGGGCAATCACTTCAAGCATAAATCGACGAGAGAGAAAGAAAATTACCTGTCTAACATCCCAGATTTGCCGTACAAATCAATCATAACGTTGAAAGTTATAGTATTTGGAATGCATCCAACATCTATCATCTCCTGAAATATTTTATGCACCTCCTCAAGAGGCAAAAATCTTGCGCAAGTGTTAAGCACACAGTTGCACATAACTTCGTCTAACTCGACATCTGAGTTTCTCAACCTCCAATAAATCTCCTCGGCTTGCGTCTGGAGATTACATTTCTGACACATCCTCAACATTGAGTGATACGTATAAGAGTCTGGAAGCAGACCATCTTCTTCTTCCATTAACTTGTAAATCCTGAAGGCCTCTTCGTGCATTCCATACCGCATGTAGACATTGATTATGACATTGTACGCTATAATATCTAGTTTTGAAACTGAACTTCGAAGTGAGCGGAACAGCTCTTCAGCCTGTTTTACATCGCCCTTCAACCCATGGACATTAATCATGGTGCATGAGGTCTCTAAGCTGGGAACAACGCCTGCACTCTGCATGTCCCTGAACACGTTTGTCGCATCTTCGAACATTCCAGCATCTTTACATGCACAAATTAGACTGCGGCACATATATTCCTTCGGTGCCATACCAGCTTTGCGCATGGCGGAAAACACACTTAAGGCTTCTTTCTGCAGATTACATTTCAGGTAAACATGTAGCAATGTGCCATAACTTTCTGTGTCTTCAACCCAACCAGCTTCCCGTAATAAGCTAAGAACCTGAACGACCTTCTTCGTTTGCCCAGCTCTTTCATACGCCCTTACAACCGCATCTAGCGTCTGTGAATCAGGCGTACACCCAAAATTCTTCATATCCGCTAAGACACGGACAATGCCCACCACATTTCTTGCCTTTCCGTACAGACTAATCAGAGTGTTAAAGTTTGATGATGCTGGCATAATCCCCAATCTCTTCATCGCCTGAAAATAATCCAATGCATCCCTAAGCTTCCCCGCACGTCCACACGCCCCTATCATACAGCTATACGTTACCTCGTCTGGCTCGAGGCCCGCCTCTTTCATCTTCTCAAACAGCCGAAGTGCTTTCTCGTAAAGACCTGCCTTCCCATATGCAGTGATCATAGAGTTATAACCGACGACACCTAGATGCATCCCTAACCTCTCCATTGTGTCCATTATGTGCTCCGCTTCTTCTATTTTTCCTTGCTGTCCATAAGTATTCATTTGCTTCAACCAGTTATCTCTGTCGGGCGCAATTTTGTGGTTCCACATGTCCTCCATTATTTTCTCTGCCTTCTCAAAGAAACCGCACCGCGTGTAAATTGCGATCATGGCAGAGTATGCGGCCACTACTTGAATCCCGCTCTGCAACATGTGCGAGAATGCAACCTCTGCATCCTCGACTTTACCATTCTTCTGATACAGCAGCATCATCATACTGTAGGTCAATCTGGTGGGTTGAACTCCCTTCTCTAACATCATTTGGAAAGCTCTCGTGGCATAGTCAGCATAGTCAGCCTTGCTTGCACTCATAATTAAGGTGTTGAATGTGTAATCATCCGGCACACAACCATCTCCCAGCATTTGACCTAGAAGCTCGTCAATTATCGGCCATTGCTGTCTCGACCCTAGAATCTTGAACATAATGTTGTAGGAATACACGTTCCCTCTCGTCTTCCCATTTTCTTGCATCCACTGAAACGCTTCCAGCGCCTTGTCGGGATTCTTAAGAGAATTCAAAATGAAAGAAGTTTGGCGTGATGTAAATTGCAACTCAGATTGCTCGAGCAAATTCAGAACTGTACCTCCGCATGGCAATGCATTTAGCGCCTTAACCAAATTAATTGTTTTATGCTTTGAATCCCGTGACGATTCCCAAATATCCCTACTTCTTTCACGTCCACTCAATTTCGCGTAACCTCCTCTCTTCGCTCTGGACACATCCCTAGTAATTGGCTTTCCTACGACTTTCGTGACGGATAGTTTCTCTACATCCTCAGAGTTTCCTAATCCGCGACCTATATTAGAATTTTCGCATGCATTCGAACGTTTCCCTCGCAGTGCACTAATAATCTCAACGTAACTCGACATAGACCTATCAATCTGAGACGAAGAAGAAGGAGAAGAAGAGGAAGAAGAAGAAGCCGAAGGAGAATCGTCCGAGGTATCGACAACTTCCTGTCCATTAGAATTCGAAGCCTCATTCCCCAAACTATCCTTCTCTAAGTACAAGTCATGCGCAATTCCCTCTAACAGAGCCTCAGCACCACTCCCTGCTTCCCGCAACTGCACAGAAACGGACGCCCGCGCTCTCCACGAGCACTTCCCACTCCTCCTGGCGGCACAGACATGGCTGGAGGACGAAAGAAAGTCAAGGCTGACGATCTTCTCAGCTCGCGCCACACAGAACCTCTCGTGAAGAAAGAATTCCCCGAGCAAGAGTCCACTACCAGAGATCGCCATCGTCAAGTCCCCGACCTTTTTCAAAGTTCTTCACACCATCCTCTCACTACACCGTTGTCAGCAGCACACTCCGCAGCCAGCCTCAGATGGCCACCCAGCTACCCTCGGACGTATAATCCACACAACTAGAAACGAGAAGAAGAGCAAAATACGAGGAATTGGAGGCAAATGAGGACGATAGAAACATGCACGCAAAGGGGAGAGAGAGACCGAGAGGAAGAGGAGGAAGGAGGAACGAAGGGGAAGGAAGGAGATGAGGAACAAGAGGCTTGCACAGAATGGCAGAATGCTCTTACTTGATAAGAAGATTGGATGGAAAGATACAGAGATAGCCTCCCCCTCCCCTTTCTTTCTTTCTTTCTTTCTTTCTTTCTTTCTTTTTTGCCCCTGCCCTGCCCTGCCCTTCCTTTCCTGTTTCTTGCCCCTCTTGCACAGTGACGGATGGCGGGTCTGTAGTCAGAATGGGACCTGATTACTCCCACGGTGGGGAGGCCTGGCACCTACACCCGCGCCCCGGTCCTGGTTTGGTGCGTGGAATGTTCTTTATCGTTCATGTAGCGTGACTACTCCTGGATGAATCCTTTTTGTTGGATGTCTTTGTTTCCACTCAAACTCTCTGTCATACTTTTTACTCATTTTTTGTGCATGTATCTTTAAATATATATATATATATATATATATATATAATTTCTTAAAATTATAGATCACATTATTAATTATAAATATAATTAATTTTTTAATAAATTATAACAATATTCAAAATCAAAATATTGCTATTAGATTATTTTTTACAAAAAATATCATATATATCCCTTAAATATGTTGAAATATTAGGAATATCATTGTATTCTTCATAATAGCAAATATATCCCTCAAATTTGTAATAATAGCATATGTACACTCATTGGTGATAGGTTATCACCAACATTCATTGTTTATTATCCAATTGAACGTATCAATCAATTTTGATGTAGTTGCATTGTCTCAAGAAAGAATATGTTTGTAAAGCGGCAAAGCATGTGATTGTATTGATGGCACTTGGAGTTGCTAGTAAGATCTACCATGAAAATAGTAGTGACAATCCTCATAGGAAGAAATGATGAAGTCATTATTCAAATGATTAAGTCATTATTTTTATAGGAATAATCATATCCTTCTTTGGATGTCCATTCATCAAGTAATAACAACAACATTAGTATTGTCAATATTTTGGAGTCCTAGTAAATTCTTCAAAATATCTACATTTATTGATTAACATATATTTGCATCTCTAGTTGTTTTCTACTTATTTATGAAAAGCTTTATAAAACCATAAGAATACAATTAATAACCAAGGGCTTCCTCTTGCATTATGTATTGTAAATAAACTACGAGCTCTTACTTATACATGATTCTTATAGTATAGAATGTTCAGAATAAGTAACGTATTGCAACAACATAGAGTATGGAAAAGAAAAAAAAAATGTATAATCAATCTAATAATGATTCTCTTTGTAAAGTTATAATTGAAGCTTTGGATATACAATTAAGCTAAGGCATACAACAAATAAGCAGTCTTATTTAATATTCAAACAAAAAATATCATTATTTATACGAATTGGTGTGAAGGACGTAAATTGAAAGAAGATATATAAACTCATGGAATCTGTATCATAAGGAAAGTGACAAAATAGAAGAAAATATGTATATTCAAAGAAAAACTAGAATAGCTATTGCCAAAGATTAGAAAACATAAGACTCTTGAAACTATACTAAAAATAAGAAAGGAGTTGGCAAGAGTGAAGAAGGCATCACTCTTGCCTCTATATATACTACTTATCTAAGAACTATATGGCAACATACTATAGGACCTCTAATATGCATCCAACTTATAGAACACATGTCTAATTTGTAAAGCAAGTTTCTTAGGTGTGCACCATATAACCAACTTATACTACAAGTAGTCAACATGTTGACATGTGGCCTCCTTGTTGGTCAAATTTTCAACCTATCAATCACATATAGACATATATAAAAACAAAGCATTGTCTATGAAGCTTTTAAAAAGCTTTCCACAAGATATTATCATATTTATTTATTTTGATTTACTTCTATCTCTTCTTATTATCTAGATAATTATCAAGGTAAATATGTATATCCGTGATATTATCCCTCCTTTTAGAGATAAGTTCTATGAGGAGTCGTGATTACATGTTGATGAAGTCCAAGATACATTGAATTGTATTTGCTATATATTTTGATCTTTATTCCCTTCGAAGGTAGTTGATAGGTCCCTTCAACCATTGATAATATCTCATACTATGGCAAGAAGACCACCCTGATATTTGGTCATTATTGAGGCCTTCATAACTTCTTTCAAACAAAACATTAGTAATACTATCAGGAGTGGTTCTTACTTTTAAAAGTATTACTAAATATTGGAAGTTCCTTCCAAGATTGTGGTACCAAACGTGTTGTATCTTGCCATCTATTCAAGAAAGAATATGTCATTCTTGAAGATCTTCATCTTGATAATGCCATCTCAAAAGTTGTGATAGTTACAATATCTCGTCTGGTAGCTCAGCAAATCATAGCTCTTAAATTGAATCTCCTAGTTGTTAGTTCTCCATCTCTTAAGTATTAAAAAATCCAAAGAAACAATGATACAAGATAGAATGAAATCTCTATTGGGCTTGCTTTGTTTTATAGCAAAGAATTTTTTGACTCTTTATCTTGGTTTTGATCGACGGCATTGATGAAAAGCTTTAACTTTGATTGATGTATTTACTAGATTCTTTGATGGTTCTAATGTGCGTTCATTAATGTCATATCTACGCCAATGTACGAGATATTCTAATCTATTTTGGCACCACCTTGAATCTGAGACTTTTTTTACTTCAAATTTTTTATTATTATCCACTTCTATAGGAGGTGGTGGCATTTATTTCTTTCTTTGTATATCCATTGTCTTGTATGGCTCAAGTAAAGATATATGGAATATAGGATAGATTTTATAGATTTTGGTAGGTATAATTAATAAGCAACTAGATTGATCTATTTACAAATGAAAAATAGTCTAATCTTATAATAATCCAACTTGTCACAAAGATAAATAGTTTTAATATTACGACAAAACAACCATACCTTATCTCCAACATAGAATTGACGTTGTTCTTTGCAATAGACATTTTTGTTGACTTTTTGTTGTTCTTTAGCTTCTTTTAATTGTACCTTTATTATTGCATGTAGCTCTGACAATCAATTTATCACATCTTTTGCTACAAGATTATCAACTTTTGAAAAGTCAAAAGTGTCAAATTGTGGATGATAACCATAATTGGCAAAGAAATGTATTTGTTGTATAGAAGAATGTACCAAATTATTGTAAGCAAACTCTATCAATGACAAAAGAGTTGTCCAATCATCTTAGTGATAGTTGATGGTACACCTCAAATACTGCTCTAAAACTTAATTTACTTGTTCTATTTGTCCATCAATTTGAGGGTAGAAAGCCAAAGATAGCTTTATATCTACCTTCAATAGCTTGAAAAGAGTTCTCCAAAATCTTGATAAAAATTATGTTTCTTTGTCTGATATAATATCTCTTGGTAATCTATAATGGCGATAGATATTGTCAAGGAAGAGTTTAGCTATTCTTTCAGTTGTGATAGATTTTGTACATGGTAAAAAATGTGCTATTTTGGTGAAACGATATACAATCATGAATATGGAATCATATGAACTTGAAATTGGAAGATCCGTAATAAAATCTATAGAAAAAGAAGACCATGATTGTTCTAGTATAGGTAATAGTTGGAGGAGTGTATAAGGTTGATGACAAAGAGTTTTTGATCTTGAACAAATATCACATGTCTGCATAAATTCTTTAACAACCTTTCACATTTGAGGCCACCAAAAATCTCTAATTATAAGCTTCAAAGTCTTATTATATCCAAAATATCATGTTGTAGGAAAATTGTGACAAGCTTCAAGAGAACGTAATTATGCTTCTCCTTCTAGAACATATAAGTGTCCTTTAAAATAGAGTAGGTTCTCCTTAAACTCAAACTTGGAAGTATCTTAAGACTTAGAAGAATTATTTTTAATATCATGAACAAGAAGATCTCATGACATATTTGCTTGGATCTGCTTGAAAAAAGTCAAATCAATAGTCAATGTTGATTTCATTGCTTAAAGATGAAATTATTCTAACTTCAATAAAATTATCTTTTGTTAATAAAAAGTTTTTTTTTTTTTTTTTTTTTTTTTTTTTTTTTTTTTTTTTTGGGTAAGATAAGAACATCTATAAAAGGCATTAAACAAAGCTTATTGTTTTTTTAGCTGATAAGTCATATTAAACTCGAATCTTGACAAAGATATGCTCCAACGAGCTTGGTGATGATTCAAAATACGTACTCACATGAAATATTTAAGATTCCTGTAATCCATATATATAGTGACTGGACTTAAAGTGCCTTCTAAATAATGATGCCATTTTTAAAAAGAATCCATGATTGCAAGAAGTTTCTTATCATAGATCTTATAATTAATCTTGGTTGCTCAAAATTTTCTTGAATGAAAAGCTACTAGATGAAGTTTGTCATTTGCTCCTATTTGTGATAAGACTATACTCAAGACAAAGTCAAATGTATCTGTCTCCATAAAAAATGCTTTGGAAAAGTTGACACTATGCAAGATTAGTGCAAAAATAAAAACTTTCTTCAAAGCTTCAAATAATACTTCTGCTTCTTTATTCCACTTGAATTGGTCTTCACAAATTAAGCATATAAGTGATACTACAACCTGAAAAAAGTTCTTGATGAAAACTTGATAATAATTGGGAAATTCAAAAAAGCATTGTATATCTTTTACTGTTTTTGGAATCTTCTAGTCTATGATTGTAACAATTTTTTTAGGATCCATCATTAGACCATTGTTTGAAATGATGTATCCTAAGAAGTCAACTTGATTAGTGTGGAATATACACTTTTACATCTTAGCATACAATCTTGCATTTCTAAGTTTTTGTAATACATGACGAATGTGAACTTCATGTTCTTCTATATTCTTAGAGTAGATTAAAATATTATTTAAATAACAAACAAGAAAATCATCTAGAAACTCACAAAAAACATCATTCATAAGATGTTGAAAAGTAGCTGGTGCA